CAATAATTGTGTCTAGCACCAACCTGTTGTCACCACTTCTGTTGTACTATTTCTGATTACAACCTAGGGTGGAAATGAAAATTCCAGGGAAAATGAGAAGATAATATACCTGAAATTCATTTAGGGCAGTAAATGTTTACTATCTCTTGTTATTGTTGTTGTTAGGTGCTGTCAAGTTGGTTCCGACTCATAATGACCCTATGTACAACAGAACCAAACACCGCCTGGTGCTGCACCATCCTTATAATCATCGTTATGCCTGAGCCCATTGTTGCAGCCACTGTGTCAGTCCATCTCATTGAGGGTCTTCCTCTTTTTCATTCACCCTCTGCTTTACCAAGCATGATGTCCTTCTCCAGGGACATGTCTAAAGTATGTGAGACATAGTCTTGCCATCCTTGCTTCTAAGGAGCATTCTGGCTGTACTCCTTCCAAGACAGATCTATTCATTCTTCTGACAGTCCGTGGTATATTCCATATTCTTTGCCAACATCATAATTCAAAGGTGTCAATTCTTCTTCAGTCTTCTTTATTCATTGTCTAGCTTTTGCACGTATATGAGGTGATTAAAAACGCCATGGCTTGGGTCAGGTGCACCTTAGTCTTCAAAGTGACGTCTTTGCTTACTATCTCTTAAGTCTGCCTATTTGCCAAAGAGCACATGGCAAGTGTGTACAAAACACCAAACTTGAAGTACCAGGAAAAATCATTGGAAACATGCTTCCAAAGTGATATGAACAGACCAAGAGTCCATTGATCAGAATCTTACGACATGCCTACTGTTGATCTCTCTAGTGTTTCTCAGAAGCAGCTACTGAATGGCCAAAAGTGCACAGAAAGCACTTTGGCAGAAAATAGTTAAAAAATAGTGATGGGTAATAGTGATTCTCTTGGCCTTCCCTTATGATTATAGTATCCTCACATGACAACTTCCACTGAGGGTAGAGATAAAGAGTAGAAAAAGGGCCTTCTTCCTAAGTCACCTGTCTCCTTTTTATGGAGAAAAACCCTTTCTAAGAAATGTGCCCAGCAGACCTCCACTTACCTCTCACTGCTCAGAACCGGGTCATGTGCTTATCCTTGAGCCAGTCATTGCCAAAGGATAGTAGAAGTGCCATGATTGTCTTACCCCAATCATGATTCATCTCTGTTGTTGTTGTTGTTAGGTACTGTCGAGTCGAGTCGGTTCCAACTCATAGCGACCTTGTGTACAACAGAACGAAACGTTGCATGGTCCTGTGCCATTCTCACAATCTTTGTTATGCTTGACCCCATTGTTGCAGCCACTGTGTCAGTCCATCGTGTTGAGGGTCTTCCTCTTTTTCACTGGCCCTCTACTTTACCAAGCATGATGTCCTTCTCCAGGGACTGATCCCTCCTGATAACATGTCCAAAGTATGTGAGACGTAGTCTTGCCACCCCTGCTTCTAGGGAACACTCTGGTTGTACTTCTTCCAAGACAGATTTGTTCGTTCTTTTGGCAGTCCATGGTATATTCAGTATTCTTTGCCAGCACCACAATTCAAAGGCGTCAATTCTTCTTCAGTCTTCCTCATTCATTGTTCAGCTTTCACATGCATATGAGGCGATTGAAAACACCATGGCTTGGGTCAGGTGCGCCTTAGCCTTCAAGATGACATCTTTGCTTTTCAACACTTTAAAGAGGTCTTTTGCAGCAGATTTGCCCAGTGCGATGCATCTTTTGATCTCTTGACTGCTGCTTCTGTGGATGTTGATTGTGGATCCAAGTAAAATGAAATCCTTGACAACTTCATTTCATCTCTGAGTGGGCTTATTTTTAGCATCCTTCAAAAATTGGAATTTGTTATCCAGGCAAAGGGAGGACTGGCTGTTACACAGGCAACCAGTAGTGTTTGCAATAATTATTGAACTCTTTTAGCATGATTAAATACCTGTATGAACAAATGTAGAATGACAACTCTGTTGAGTGCAAACGAGTGACTAGTGTAATGAGAGACAATAAAATAAAATAATTTTTGACTTCGAAACACATGGAACTTCCGTGGCCACTGAACTTTTTCTTGTAAGTAAAACAATGAGTTTTATAAATTTTCCCAGGAGCATACAACTTTAACCAATGACTAAAACTGTCCTCTTTTGAAAATCTGCAACTTTATTATTGAAAGAATGTATGTATTACATATCTTAATTACAACCTCTTTTGCCATGAGACCAGAATATCTGTATAATACCTGGCTACCATTACTGAACATTTTGATCAGAGATTTTTATAGAAAAACCCTGATCAAAAATGGGAAATTGCAGAACAGAACATCAAATTCTCATGGAATCTAGATGTTCTAGAGCTGTAGAAGCTGGATGAACCCCAAAACTATTGCTCTAACATTATCTTTAAACCTTAAACCAAGAATATCTCCTGAAGTCTTCTTAAAACCAAACGGTAGTTTAGCTTAGACTGTTAAAGGGTGTCTGTCTCGAGCATTATGTTTTTTAAGATCTATCTATATGGGATCAAATTGACAGCAACCCGAAAGGTTAGGTAGGAACCTTTTGGGGGCATTGAGTTTATGTTAATTGGGCAGGAACAACTTAGAAAAGGAGGGTGAGAATGGTTGCACAACTCAAAGAATGTAATCAATGTCACTGAAATGTACATGTAGAAACATGAATTGGTGTATGTTTTTGCTGTGTGTATTCTCAACAACAAAAATAAATTATTTAAAAAAGTATTACTGATACTTGAATTCTCCTAATAGCTATCTTTTCTGATTTTTGAATCCATAGCAACTTCATTTTCAGGTTTAAAAACTTGGAGGTTTAAGTTTAAGCCTTTTTTTTGAATGTGGCAATATTGTTATCATAGATAAGATACAGGCTCAACTGCTGTGACAAGACTTCAAAATAATAATGGCTTAAACAAGATAACAGTTTGGGGTTGTGATGGCAGCTCCACAGGTTCCTTCTACTTTATTGTTCTACCGTCCTTAATATTGGCTTCTCTCCTATAATCTAAGATGGCTACTTCAGCTCCCAGAATCACATCCACTATCCAGCAGTGGGAAGATGATAGGGGTAGGGTGTAATCATTCTCTTTAAAAGAATTACTCAGATGTTAAACACATCACATCTGCTCACATACTTTAGGTGACTAATTAGATATTGGGGGTGCCGAAGAAGTCTAGAATAATGCCATGATTTCCGTCTTAAATGGTTGAGTGTATGCCATTAACTGAGATAAGGAATATAGCAAGATATTTACATTTGAGGGACCAGCTCCGGGACAGCTAACAACAAGAATCTTTTTTCCATAAACTTGATTGTAAAGTTGGAATAAAGGGGGATAACAAAAACAAGGCACAGATTTGAAGGAGTCCTTTTATTTAATTCTGGAATACTCAAATACTGAAAGGAAGCGGAGCTCGTGGAGAGTCAGATGTTGAAGATACAGGAGAGAGAACGAGTAATTAACGCAGACTGGTTTCAGGGGGAGATGAGAGAAAGCATTTTAGGATGCAGGTGGAGGTAACCTTAGACAGAAGGAAGAGTACCTCTGGCTTTTATGTAGATAAGAAGGAAATAAGGATGTGTGTGAATGCAGAAGTCTCCCTCAACAGACATTTGTTGAACAGAAGCACCAGGCATTATTTAGCTAATGTAGCTAGTAGTGAGGTTAATAAGGCATAGTTACAGCTTTGTTGGGAAGATATGTGATGAAACCAGCAGGATAAAGTGTGTTGAAGTGTCATTTAGAGTTATGCTCAAGAGTTGTGGAAACACAGAGGAGGCTAGGAGAAGAGGAGAGAGGACCAAAAGTGAAAATGGGTTTGTACCTGGAATACGAGGCAAGGACATCTAAGAGAAGAAAGCTTGAGAATGAGGACTGTGGTGGGGCCAGGGCTTGGAAGAAAATGCAGACCCGGATTACAGTGTTGGTTATTGATAACCATGGTTGCAATAATAAAATTTTTATACAGTTGTTGACTTTGTTTAAACATCAGGTGAAACTTTATTTGGGAATACTTGAGAAAATGAATTTTTATGACCAAGGAAGCTTCTTGTTATCCTTTTTTCTTTTTCCCCTTTGATGATTTCTCTTGAAGCTTATTTAGGTAAAAAAAGCCACTACTTCCAAAGGTGCTTTGGTACCCTGGCATAATTTCAAAGAAATCTCCTTTCCCACTTAGTTAACTACATTTCCCCTGTAAAAAAATCTTCTCTGTTAATGTAGCATCCTTTAACAGGACTCCTGCTGGTCGGTTCTTGTATCTTGCTGTGGCAGTTGTGAACATATATACTATTGATCGTTAATGTGTGATATAAATCCAACTGGAGCATGCCCACTAATTGGTTTGAGAGTTAGATATAGACAATGCTGTCTTATAGTAGCTTGTGTAGATGGGCCTAGTCATAGGGTTAATTCTGCTTGACAGCACATCAGCAGCATCTTGAGAGTAATTACCCAACAGAAGTTTTCCCACAGCCGAACTGAGAGCTTCAAAGGCTTCTGAATTTACAGCCAGTATTAACCTATATCTGAAATATAGTGTTCCCACAAGGACTCAGATTTTTTTCTCCTTATTAAATGTATGGGGTTACTAGGTTCATTTACTCTGTGCAAAGAGCTTAGTGAAAAATTACTTGGTGTTGATAAATTGAAAATCTTTAATAAGTAAAGAGGATAATTATAAATTTTGTTCTCATTGCTTTATTATATAACTGAGACAAGTTAATATGAAGATATCAGGTGCTTTTTTGCATAATTTATCCTCTTTCTCTCAAAAACAAGTTCATGTATTTTCTATCATGTGCTATTTGTATATGTGCATATTTATGGGACCTTGGGTAATGCATGCATTTAAAATGCTTACGATAAATATGCATTTACATTTTAGAAAGCTATTTTGTTGATTAATGTACTGATATCTATAACTATTGCATCTTTTTTTTTCCTCCATAAAATAAATGTTGTTCTTTTACAAACAATTTTTATATTGTGAAAAATTTCTTTCCCTTTGCAGGTCAGAAACCAAATTCGACTCTGGTTCAGGTATGTTTACATTAATAATGTTATTCTGAGGATATTTTATTTACATTATTCTCTGAGGAGTAATTCATCAGATCAAGAACCAGGTTGATTTTAAACAGACTGGGCAGTCTCTTTTCAAAACATGAGCCCTACCTCAGAGCAGGGCTATTGGCTGCTTCAAATCATAACTGGAGATGTTCACTTTGGGATTCTTGATAGTTCTGCAAGAAGCATTAAATGCTCTGTATCTGCAGAGTTTCATTTTAAAAGCAGAGGTGGGGGTTATACATACTCATTGCTCAGAATAGAAAATTATTTTCTTAGTGGACAAAGAATCCTGAATAATTTGAGTATTTTCTGCAAGTGATTTGTTATCAAATGTGGGTGATGGATGCATTTAATCTAGCAAACTGTAGTTTCAGCCAGTAGAAATAAAAATTTGTCTATTATTTACTAGTTTTAAAAATTTTGTTGTTGTTGGAGGGGGATGGAATATTAAGGTCACCATAAGCCCTTATTTTGTATCTATCAAGACAAAATTTACCTTCTCACAGACAGTGGCATATCAGCCTCATTAGATGTTTTCTTCTCATTAAGCATGAATGTAGCCATATAATCCTTAAGTTTGACTGTGTCTTTATGTCATTTGCTGGGAGTTATGTGGTTCGGAATTTCTGATGGTGTTTTCAATTAAAGCAAAAAAAAAAAAAATGCCTCATGTTAGGTACAAAGGAATTATGCTGTTCGGTGAACTGTTAATAGATAAGTAAACATTAATTTTTTAATTCCAGGAGACAGTAATTTTCAGGAAAAGAAAGCTTGTTCAATTTATAAGTAACATGCTCAGATCTTAGTTCTATTATGTTTTAAAATTTAAAAAATGCTGTTGCTTATGTTCACAAAGGAGCTAAATGATATTCTTTTTTGATAGTGGTGTTAAGAAGCTAACATGCTTTCTTTCTTCATATGCTTCTTCTTTTGTTGTACAGCTTTATGGTTTTCTACAACTTGATGAAACTCTTTAAATAGGAAGTCTGTACGTTTGAGTTAAAATTTCACCTAAATTTGAGAACCATGATTCTAGAAGTCTTTCTATGTGTTCTTGAACTTCCTAATCACATGTGTCAGTGATAATATAAGACAAATATTTCTAATTAACAGTGTTGATTATATGGAGACTAAAGGCGTGGTAGCGTGGTATCAATGATTTGACTCTTGTTGATTCACAGAAGTTGACTCAAAATAGGGTGAAAAGTCTAACTTTTTTAATAGTTAAAATCTTTTAAGTATAATAAAAAAATAAATGTTATATACTGCTTAAAACTGATGTAGAATGAATTTTTAGATAAAAATTGCATGTCTTTTTATCATTGACAGTCATCAAATATCTATTAAAGATTTACATTATTATGATCTGATGTATATTTAAATCCCTAAACATCAATTCAGAATCTGGTCTTTGGGTACAGGATCTGGAATATAGCTTTTCAAAATAAAAAAGGCTACTAGATTCATTCTGAAAGTAGAACCTGGAAGTAGTGTACAAAACTGAAATATTAGGCAGCTAGTGTCAAAGTTAGATAATTTATGTTAAATTTTAAAATCCAGATAAAAGTGTGCTGCTAAATTCCTGTACTGAAGGTTAGTATTTATTATGAAAATAGTTATAACATCTGCACAGGCACACATCTTTCACTCTTGTGACCAAAGATTTTGTCCATGACTCTTATTTTTTTCTTGTTTTAATTTTTTTAAATGCCTGTCATGGACAACATCTGCATGTCTTTGAAAACTACAAAGTTCTGTACTCTGAGAAGTCTTACGGAGAATACTGATTAAAAGTTTATTTCTTCTTTTAATTTTGAATTTAAATACGTTGTGGAAAGAATTCAGATGGTTTCAAATTAAGAAACAGGTAATTATTTTTTTGTATAAACTCTTTTAGCATGCTATTGAATGAGGGAATCATGACAGAGGAAACTAGAAGTTTATTTTCTGGTATTCTGCAATGATACAGGTAGCATCTTGGAACAATTAAATGTATGACTTTAATAGGTTCAGATTTTTTATCGTTCATCAACTACAGAGAGTAAACTAGCTTTGTTTAATGTATACAGCTGTAACAGGGTTCCTAACAGGTTCCTGATTTTTAAATGAAGGAAGATGCCAATCTTACTAAGAAAAATAAAACCTTAAAAAATGAACACTGTGGTTGATGACTAACCATAAAGGAAAGGATTTCAAAGGCAAATTATATATGTATGTGTATATGTATATGTATATATTTTATTTTTCAAGGAAAGTACTCAACTTATGCAGAGCTTACTGCACAGCATTTTACAGTTTGTATAAATGAGTTTCAGGCTGTGGAGTGAGATTAAGGAGGAAGGAAGAAAAGTTTGCATTGTCAGCACATGGTAAAAATTTTCAGTTGTTGAATATGTATAAAAATTATCAACCTAGAAAGTAATTTAAATTTTTTCTTATCAGAATTGTATCAATTTTCCCTATAAAAACAAATCCACAAACAGCCTCCCTGTGTTTTTCCAAAATTTTTTTGAAAAAGAAGTTTAAAAAACTTTTATAATAAAAGATTTCAAGCATACAGAAAAGTAGAGGGTATAAGTATAATGAGCACCTATCATATGGATTGTACTGTTAATAGTTTGTCATATTTGTTTCATCTTTTTTTTTTTGCTTGAAGTATTTAAAAGTAAAATACATACATTTAATTTTAAAATCTGAAAATTATAGATTGTCTGGACTTATTGAAAGGGGTCAATAATTTTTTTTTATTGATGTAATTAAATGAAGTTTACGTTTCAAGTTAGTCTCCCATACAGAATTTTTTTTTTTTAATATACATTGTTATGAGACCCCAACCGCTCACCCCATTCTGCAACAGCACACTCCTCCCCTCCGCCCC